GGGTACTAACCTCCTTCGATGACCTTAGTTATCGTCTCCCACACCCGGGAAGAACAGGTCTCTAGATTCAGTTTTGTTTTAACAATTTATTTATGAAAATTTGGTAGCTCTTGGAACCCTGCAAGCATGAGATATGATAGAATCTAGCTCTTGGACCCCTGTAAGCATGAGTTCTGTTAGAATCTAGGTCTTGAACCCGCTGCAAACATGGGATCTCATAGGATATAGCTCTTGGACTCCTGCAGGCGTGGGATTAGCTCAAGATCTATTAGGATTGTGTGTACACATTCCTTTGTACTCATCCATTTGTGGCTGCAGAGGTCGAGTCATAACTCCTTGACCCGAGTTTTAACTGGTCGTCAGCAGGTGCCATTATACCTTTACCCACAGCTGTGTATGGAGTTTGCCAACACTAACATCCTCCCCCCCCTCTCTCTCTCTCTCTCTCTCTCTCTCTCTCTTTCTCTCTCTCTCTCTCTCTCTCTCTCTCTCCAAAATCAATTTACCTCTAATTCTATATAGGATCTCATGAACTAAAAGCTCCTCCCTGTCCTGCCCAAACCCTAAATTCATGAGAGGATCCCTGACCTCCCTCCTGCCCTCTCCTGACCCTGACACGCACTCGAAGACACACACACACACACCTCACTGTGTATATACACTTAGAGACACACATCTCACGGTATATATATTCTAATGTTCCTAAACTGTTCATTATCGGAGATTGTTCGGTGTTTTTACTCGTCTCTTCCTCACCATGATTGTGTTTTATTGGTTCATTTCTATCTCCTTCGTAACCTGATAAACTATTTGGTGTGTGTGTGTTTGGTCGTCGCTCTAAAAGAAAAAAAATCAGCTTCCATCCCCCTCGCTTTTTCCCCGCTTAGCATTTATGCAAATTAAATATATAATGCTCTGTTTTATTCCTTCGCTTTAGATAGATATAGCTACTCTCCCTACTTTCTACTACCACTACCACTACTACTACTGCTTCCACTACCAGCCTTACCACTACCACTCCTTTTTCTTCCTCTTTTGCTCCCGTCCCTGTCCCCCTCGCCTATATATACTGGCTCCCTCACTCTATTGTGTTAGTGTGACTTTGTAAATGGTCACCCTGCTTCATGAGCTTTATCAAACCTCGTCTTAAAACTATGTATGGTTCCTACCTCCACTACGTTACTTACCAGACTATTCCACTTCCTGACAACTCAGTGACTGAAGAAATACTTCCTAACATCCCTTTGATTCATCTGAGTCTTCAACTTCCAATTGTGACCCCTTGTTTCTGCGTCCCATCTCTGGAACACCCTGTCTCTGTCCACCTTGTCAATTCCTCACAGTATTTTATAAGCCGTTATCATGTCTCCCCTAACCTTCCTGTCTTCCAGTGTCGTCAGGCCGATTTCCCTTAACCTTTCTTCGTAGGACATTCCCTGAGCTTTGGGACTAGTCTTGTTGCAAACCTTTGCACTTTCTCTAATTTCTTGACGTGCTTGACCAGGTGTGGGTTCCAAACTGGTGCTGCATACTCCAATATGGGCCTTGAATCTTGAACGATTCCTTACTGAGGTATCGAGACATTATTCTCAGGTTTGCCAGGCGCCCACATGCAGCAGCAGTTATCTGGTTGATGTGCGCTTCAGGAGATGTGTTCGGTATTATGCTCACCCCAAGATCCTTTTCCTTGAGTGAGGTTTGCAGTCTTTGACCACCTAGACCATACTTTGTCTGCGGTCTTCTTTGCCCTTCCCAGATCTTCACGACTTCGCATTTGGCGGGGTTAAATTCGAGAAGCCAGTTTCTGGACCAAGCTTCCAGCTTGTCCAGGTCTCTTTGTAGTCCTGCCTGATCCTCATGCGATTTAATTCTCCTCATTAACTTCACATAATCTGCAAACAGGGACACTTCTGAGTCTATTCCTTCCGTCATGTCATTCACATATACCAAAAACAGCACTGGTCTTAGGACTAACCCCTGTGGAACCCCGCTCATCACAGGCGCCCACTCTAACACCTCGTCACGTACCATGACTCGTTGCCTCCCTGTCAGGTATTCCCTGATCCATTGCAGTGCCCTTCCTGTTATGCGTGCCTGATCCTCTAGCTTTTGCACAAACTTCTTGTGAGGAACTATGTTGAAGGCCTTCTTGCAGTCCAAGAAGATGCAGTGTACCCATTCCACTCTCTCTCGTGTCTTACTTCCGTTATCTTGTTATAAAACTCCAGTAGGTTTGTGACACAGGATTTCTCTTCCCTGAAACCATGCTGGTTGTCGTTGATAAGCTTGATTCTATCTAGGTGCTTCACCACTCTCCTCCTAATAATCTTCTCCGTGATTTTGCATACTATACACGTCAGTGACACTGATCTGTAGTTTAATGACTCTTGTGTCTCTTTTCTGAAAAACTGGGACAGCATTTGCCACCTTCCATACCTCAGGTAGTTGCCCAGTTTCAATGGATGTGTTGAAGATTTTTGTTAGTGGCACACAGCATCTCTGCTCCCTCTCTAAGGACCCAGAAATTATTTCCTGTTTTTTCAATATTTAAAGTGTCCTTCAGTTGCTGATGTTTTTTCAATTGTGTTTTAATCTCGGTGTTTGTGTGTGTGTGTTTTTATTTGACATCTCGTTTTTTAGGGTAAGAGGAAGGGGAGGGGGAAGGAATTCTGCATACTGTTGCGCTGAACCAGTGTGACTAACACACTTTCTAAATTTCTGTTGCTTGACTGAGTGTTCGTTGCAAATACTGCTCAGTGATTCTTGCAAATACTGTTCAGTGTTTGCTTGAGTGCTTGTTGCAAAAACTGTTTAGCGCTTGTTGCAAATACTGTATAATGCGTGATTGAGTGCTTGTACTAAATACTGTTTATTGTTTGCTTAAGTGCTTGTTGGAGTGCTCGTTTTAGATATTGCTGAGTGCTTGACTGAGTTCGTGTTGTAAATATTGATGAGCGTTTTCTTGAGTGCTTGTTGCAAATACAGATGAGTGC